CAAATCACATTCTGACCTTCCACAGTGGCCACTCTTGGGCTCCCCGGGCAAAACAGGTGTTGGCCCACATGGATGTGTGCCCTAGGTGTACACATCATCTTCTGTTTTATTTTCTGATCATTGTAATTTTAACTATGATCAATGCTCTAGGAAGTTGTTCAGGAAAAAAATACCTTGTCTACACCCCAGGGGAACTTCTTGCAGACTTGCTGTGTGTGATAATGGAACCAAGAAAACACAGCTGATCTGTGGAATCAACAAGATTGGCTCTGGAACAGTTTGTTAAGAGGATTTTTTTTTGCCATAGGTTCCACAAACCAAGTTTTGTTTTGATGCTGATTTCAGCGGTAGTGGTGTGCTAACACCACAGAAAAAAAAAATGCGTTAGCGCTGCTACAAAGTAGTGTAGTGTAGAGGCAGTACCAGGGTGCTAACACTACACAAGAAAGGGCCACTTTTTGCACTGCTACACTAACACTAAGTGGCTCTGCAGCATAGCGGACCACCGCTGCTGCCTTGGCCTCCTTCCACAGTAGCCTAGAGCTACCAGGTTGCATGGATGCTTGATCATCACAAGTAGCTCATTCAAAATCTTCAATCAACATAGCTGGCTTGTGACAGTAATTTAAGGTGTCAGGATGAAGCGTAAACAGCGGGAGAAGACTCCGGACCACAAGGTTATCGATGTGGACGAGATTGAAGTCAATAGTAGTCAACCCCTTTCCGGAACATCAAATAAGCAGAGCTGGGTCTGGAACCACTTCAAGGAAAAACCAGGAACAAATGAAGCAATTTTTCAAGTCATCACAAAGTTGGGCGGAACCTGTGGCAGGTCAATCAAGAAAGACAACAGTTCAAGTACCAAATCATTCTACACACATCTCAAAACTTTCCATTGACTATCCGATCCGAGTCTCACCAAGAAAACTAAGACAAAACACATGGATATTAGCAAGTGGAGCAAAAGCGGCACTATGCAGCCCCAGGTAAAGTATTTATTCTTTATTCAAATGCTTTGAGAAGGAGCGTCTATTGATATGATAAATGGCAATTTATTATTCTCTTCAATTGGCCTGTTTCATCCAGGTTGATTTAAACAGCAAAACACTCAGGTTGGCGCTTGTCTATATGATTGCTGACTCCGATCTGCCCTTTGCTTTTGTGGAAAGGAAATCATTTCAGGATCTTGTCTGCCTCCTCAAACAAGATGTGGTGGCTTTAATAAATACCACCAACCAAAATTCAATCACCACACATGTGACTTGTATGTATGTACAATCAATCTGAAAAAACAATTAAAAACAATTATATCAAAAAACAGATCTCAATATCCTTCACTCAAGATTCCTGGACAGCCCCTAATGTCCTTCATGGCAGTAACAGCACACTTCATCAATGAAAACTTCCAGATGCAAGACCTCACCCTTGCAGTTCCACATGTGGAAGGTGAGTTGGTTTTTTTTCACTTTGGCCTCTCCGCTCTGTTTAACTAATCAGAATCGTCTCTCTTTGCTTCCCAGGTGTCCACAATGGGAAAAAATTTGCAGAAATGTTCTACGATGTTCTTGATAGATACTCGGCAATTGAATTACTTGATACAATAACCGCCGATAACGCCTCAGGCGATTGAACTACTTCATACAATCACCGCCGATAACGCCTCAGTCAACTTGAATGGACCGCGAACAGGACCTTCAAATACCCCAGTTCAAGAGCTCAAATCATATCCTAGGCTGTGTTGCTCATGTCATCAACCTAGCTGCCAAGATTGGGATCAGAGCCCTTGGATCGGTGGACCATGCAGAAGACGGTCATGAAATATCAATGGGCAATCACAATCCAGACCCCCAAAGCTTTGGGTCCAATAACCCCATGAACATCGGTTCGCTTATCACACCTCCCGATGGAGCCGGCATCAACACTCAGACCATTCTCAAGCAAATCCATGGCCTCTGTACCTGGGTTTGTTTCTCACCTCAACACCGCAAAAAATTCACTGTTGATGTGAATTATTTTCAACCGGAAATGTGTGCTAAAAAGATTCAAGGTCTTGAGATCAATGTACCAACTTGTTGGAACTTGACTTATTCGATGTTGCAGCACGCACTCTCCCTTGAAAAGACATGTACTCACTTCTGCAAACACAATGCCGAAGCTTCCAAGTTCCTCCTATCACCGGCCAAATGGGATCAAGCAAGATATCTCACACAGCCTCTTGAACCCCACCACAATGCTACTGTGATCCTATCTGGCTCCCATTACCCAACATTGAACAAGGCCCTCCCAGTCTATATTGTCCTACTTGAACATCTTGACTCCGTTTGTCGAGGGCTTTACAACCAATCTCAGCTGATTCAACCAGCCCTTCAGATGATTGAGAAGTTTGACCAGTATATCCGGGACGCCCTCCAGAAACTAGTTTGCATCTGCGCAATGATCCTCAACCCCAAATTCAAGACCGCTTTCTGGAAGAATCATCAGAATTTCATCTTCAATTGCTACCAGGTATCTGTCCAAGAGATAGAAAAAAATCTTTTCAAAAGAAGGACTTGCCTTTGAGGAAAGGTTTGTGAAGGGTAAGCCTCCTGCATCCGAGGATTCAATGTTGAATCGATCAAACACCAAAGGCCTTTTCACCTCAGCATTGTATCAGCCGGCTCCAAATATCCAAGGGATTCAAGCCAAAATTCAACACTACCTGAACAAAGATGTTGAAACCAAGGAGGTCCAAACACCTCCTTATTGGGCCTCCCGACCAAAATCATTCCCCAAGCTGTCATTGATGGCTTGACGCTTCCTATCCATCCCAGCCACCAGCGCATCATCAGAGCGAGTCTTTTCTACAGGTCGTCACATTGTTTTGTGGCAGCAATCCTCCCTAAAGCCAACCACGATCGAGGGCCTCTTGTGTCTCAAAGACTGGTTCCTCACCTTCGACGGGCCATTTTGATATTGTTTCTTTCTCTCATTCATTCTTTTTTCTGTTCTAATGATTCTCACACAAAAAAAAATACAAATTCCATACTACAAAAAAGCTGAAAATATCATGTAATACAAGATCGAGGCAGCACAAATGGAAAAAAAACCTTGCTTTATGATGTATCCAAACCCCGGGGTTCCGGAGTTTTGAAAAACCTCATTCCGAGTCCTGAACCCCGGGGTTTTGTTCTGGGCAAAACCCTGAACCCCGTGTGTTGGGGTCATGCCTTACTTATATGCTATGCTATGCTACACTGTACTACAGCGCTTTTGGCAGCAAAAGGCTCAAAAACCTATAGAACATGCTGCAGTGCAGCGTAGTGGGATCTTCTTTGTGGCCCACATGTGCAGCATTAGTGCATTTGCTGTCAGATTTCCCCTCACACCTCCAACTCCGCAAAGAGATGTCAGAAGGATAGTGTTTTAACTCAATCCATCCCATGTAAGCATCCATGTTTTAGAACCCTTGCAGGGGAACGTGATAACTTATCAAATCAATCTTTCTTCTTGCTCAAAGTAGATGAGACGAGTCGCAACGACAAAAAGAGGAGCACCCAACCAGGGCAGCCCAAGGAGAACCAGAATCACCTTGGGTCCACCAAGGACACCCACAGGTCAAACTTGTGAGTACTTAGTAAATGTCTCTCCATGTGTTTGTGGGTCATTTGTTCCTCACATCAACTAAAATCATTTCTTATCACAGAACCATCTCCAACTGCTTCACAGCTCCCTCCCTTGCTACTTGTATCAGTCACCAACACAACAAGTAAGCTAATATTCATACTACATCCATTCTCATAAGAATGATGAACCGTTGGTCGACAGACATTGATCAGGCTCTGCATCACTCTAGGCACCATTCTCACTCTAATAGGATATAACTGGACCACTGATAAGTAGGACCAGTTAACTGAAGTCTTTGTAGCCATCCCAAGTCAACTTGCACACTAACAAGAGAACTCATTCTTTCTTCAAATAAAATTGACCTCAAGTTTCAACAAAACACAAAACCAATAAAAAGAATCTCTCGTTGTCTCTATCTCTTGCTCTATCAAACACACTTTCTTCTTCTGCACTTTCTTGACAGAAACCATAAAAAACATAACCACGAGTTAGACAACTAGTCCTGCTCTTAGGTAAATCTTTCATTCTTTCAAGCAAAGATCTTAATTCTCACACTTGTACATAGTTGAACAACTCTAATGAAATAAAGCTCTTAGTTGCCATAAAATTTACAGTTGTGATGGAATTCCACTGTGCTATGCTAAACATGAGCCAAATTTGGCTACACTATGCTGCACTAATGCTACTGTTACCATAGTGGGCCCATTGGTGTTGTGAACTATATAATTTTGGGATTATAAGGTTTTTGATAAGAGACACCTACAACAGTGGAAAAGGGCGCAGGGTGATCAAATTCAACTTGCATTTTGACCTGGATTGGATACCAAGCTCTGAATAATGTTTCCTTGCATACCATTCTGCTCTTTCCAATTTTTATTTGATCATTTGGAGCAATATTGAAGCATTTGATAAAAGTGCAATAATTGTAATATTTTTTGCAAATTTCAAAAATCAGTTTTTCATATTGTTTGTTTTGAGAATCATCTTTTGAAACCTCTTTTATACCACTTGCCCACCCAAGTCTTATGATTTCAATTTGATGTGCCAGGGTTGTGTAATACAAACAAACTAGCTATAATTAACATCTGGTAGGTGACACTGACTGTACTTTTCTTTTGAATCTGAGTTGTTCACCTTTTCACAATAATATGGGCCATTAATTGAGTTTTTTTTTCCAAAAGAAGGAGAATGTTTGATGGTTCAAGTAGTGCTAAACTATCTAACCAGTCCAATGAAACAGTTTGGTTGATTCCAAGCCAAGTAATTAATGGATGCCCTCTTCATACCCTGATCCGCACCCTTAAGATGTATAAGGGGGATGGAAAATTCTACAGGATGTGATTGGATGGTTTGGTTGCTCGGATGTGATCAGCAGAATCCAATCAGAGTATAATAGTAGATGCTGGTGTATTGGGGAGAGAGAGAGAGAGAGCAGTTGAGTTGAGTCTTCATTTCCGATCAGCAGAATTCCAGAAGACTCGACAGTCCTGGAACCAAATCACAAAATCTGGTCAACAGCCAAGAACAACAACTTCGAACAACAACCAACAACAAACACTAACCAAAACAATCAAGAATCAAGATGCCAGTACCAGCAACCGAACTACCGATACTAGAAGCATTAGTCAAGTTGAGCAACCATCAGCGCATGTAGCAGCTGGGCATAATAACTGACTACCGTCCTCACTCTCTCATAGCATTCGAGCAAGGCTAACGAAACTCAAGAAAGACCGATCCGAATATATTCGTGCATGCGATGTAATGCAAATCTATGCCGCTGTAATTAAACAAGGTCAACTATCTTTCTCCTTCTTTTTTTTTTTTCTTAAACTCTTCTCCCTCTCTTTTTTCCCCCCTCACGTCTACGCTTTCTTGGATTCAAAAAACGAAACAAGAAAGGGATGGTAACATAAACCTAAAAATAAAAAGAGAACTCGATCGATCGATCACTTCTTGTGGAAAACTTCCTTATCGACCTCAACAATCCGACGATCTTCGTGTTAATGATAAAGTAACAAAAGATAAACAGGAGAGACTGACTTGAAGATGACATTGTATTGAAAAAAAAAAAAAAAAAAAAAAAAAAACTACAAATAAAAATTCAACAATAACGCTGGATGACGACATATAAACAACAGTGAACAAATTAAACGAAGTACGAGATGAATCGGCAAACGACCAAGCAGCAAGTAGTGAACAAGAAGAGCAAGAACCCAACCCATCTTCGCATGAGACCCATCACACCAACAATCGAGTGGACACTACTCTCAATGACGTCTTTCAACTCCTCAGTTTATTCTTCTTGACGATCGGGAAAAGCAGGGAATCACCGGCAGCTTATTGTCAATTAGCCACCATGAAGGTCGGTCATTCCCATCCACCCCCTTCTATTTTACTGTAAATTTAACTGAACCAGACGGGGGGGCGGGGTTGAAACAAAAATAGCAATTGTTAGATCATATGGACGAATCTGGAGTGTACACAGAAACCGACCTGAAACCGTTCCAATCACGTCTAGATGAACTCAAGACGATCATCATCCGAGACGAAGATAAAGAGATTGCAGCAAAGAAAGAGGCCGAAGTAGAAGGAGTGCCGGATGAAGAGTTACATCCCGAAGGATTGACGAAACTGTTACTCCGGAAATGGGAAGAATGTAGTGCGTATTCCCCCCATTATTGCGAAAAGAAAAAAAGGGGGGGATTGAGGATGTCAAACTAACTGATTGAATTTGAACAAAAAAAAGATAAGATGCTCAAATCATTATTGGCCTCGCTATCAGTTCTCTCAGTAGAACTAGTACCGATCCACCAACGACTGATAACGATCCGTCGCCAACTAGCAGCCATGGCAGCGCGCAAGCCTACGACGGCCGAATTGACGACGGTCCAAGAGGAGTTGAGGAAGATCGATTCGAAGCGGATCGACGGGAAGTTTCTAGGGCCCGGTGGGGCCTCTGTGCCCGAAGGACAGGCAATCCTCACCGGCCTGCTCGAGGAAAACTTCGAGATCTGCCAGGAAATCGGCGCGAGAAAGGAAGACGTCTCGCCCACCTTACAGCCTATCTATGAACGTCTTTGCGACCTCAAGGCCGCTTTGGAACGGCTCACTTTGACTCATCGGTGGACGTTGAGAGAAACCGTTCGTCCTTTCTCGCTTTCTCCACTCTCTTCCCTTTTTCCTTTTCTTTGAAGATATTCATCTCGTTCTCCTCTTTTCTTGTATGTGTAGGATCTGTATAACTTTCAAGTCTCGCTGCAGGAATTAGATGCGATGAGGGTCGACGGAAAATTTGTAGATGCTGAAGGAAACAAACCGGAAGGCCAACTAGTGAGTAACAAGTCTCTCTCCATGAAATAGAATCCAAAACCTCAAAGAAGGAAGGGGGGATGGATGAAATCCACAAAGATGAAAAGAAGAAATCTAACGAAACAAACGAATGAAACCTTAGGTATTACACTACTTATTACGAAGATGTTACGGGTTAATCTACCGGCTGATGTCGTCATCGGAGCCGATCTCGGAGGAACTGATGCCGATAGCCAACAAGCTGTCGACGCTGAAGAAGTGTCTGAACGAGGTTCTGAAGTACGGGGGCGACGGCCTCTCGCCGCGCGACTTGTATCCCTACCAACTCGCTCTCGCCCAGATCGATAACCTCAGAATCGACGGCAAGTTTAAGGGCAAAGACGGCACTATCCCTGAGGGACAGGCTATCCTTAATGCTAACCTTGGAGAATGGTCAGCTCTTCTTCACTTCTCATTCTCTGCGGTCCTTGCTCGTCTGATTACTTTCTTTCTGTTCTGGTAGTCATGAATTGTTGAACACTTTGAGAGAATCAATGGAACGTGGATAAAAAAACACACACACAATAACAGACCATCGTCTTTAGTTTACCTTTCCATTCTATCTTTTCTATGTTCTGCTTCCTGTTTTTTTTTGTATCAAAATCTACATGTTTTTTTGTTTGTTGTTGTTCACAAAGAAAAAAACCAATCCAAAAAAAAGAAGAAAATCAAAACTTTAGTCATGGGTCCTGTGATATCATCCATCTCCAAATACATATGCCCTTAACTTGTTCTTTTACAGTTCTCTTTTTTGTTGTTGTTGTGGAAAGTTTTGTAAATAACTATTATACGTATATAAAAAACAATTCAACCTCCTTTTTTCTGAAAATCTTGAATGGGTGGAGAAAGGATGTGGATGAGTGATTGAAATATCTTGTGTTCCAGATGTGAGGAACAAGTGCTGTCATTACAGTCAGCTAAGAGACCCCTTGGAGAGTCTGTTTGACACACTCCCAAAGGCCTGCTTGGCACATGCCACAGGCGGTGAGTGGTTGGGACACAACTAAGCAATTAGGGTGCCACACTTGCCCCCAAACACGCTGGTCATCAAGAAAAGGGATCCCTTCTTGATGGACAGGCTGGTGCTACCTAGCCATTGAGGAGGAGAGACAGGACTCTCTTTTGCCAGCCATCAATCGGAGTAGATGTGCCCCCCCCCACCAATAGGTAAGAAGGCTTGCTTCCCTCCTCTCAGTGGCCAGTTCCATTGGCGTGCCAAGCGCTCAGAGCATCTCCAACAGACCCGCAATCGGGCCACCGGGGGCAAACTTTGACCACCCGGGTTCAATTTTTGACCTCCAACGGACCTGCGGATCCACCCTGAAAACATCGCGGGGGGCAGTCAAACCCGCGATGACCTGCTGGCTTCTGCGGGTCACCTCCCAGCCGCACTCACCAGTACCAACCACATTCCACTCAGCTTTGCCAACTTTTTCCGCCATACTACTCTTTGCCTCTCAACTCATATCCATCATCACCACCTTCTACAACATCCCATTCCTCATCAAACTCCATCCATCCAACCAATCCAGATTTATCCTGTGGATTGCCTTGCCACTAGCCGGACTTATCATTCATGTCTACATTGGTACAAGCTCAGACCTACTAACTCAATCCAGACATCAAAGGACAGCCATGATCACTTATTCAACTAGTATCCTCATCTGTCCACTCCTATCACTATCCTTCTGTCAGCTGATCAGAACACTAATCATCTATTAGCTTCACAGGTTGTCTCAGATGGTTTGTTTATTTGTCTCCAATTTAGAGATCGTTTGTTTGGACCTAGGTACCTGTTCATTTTTTCAAGAAAATGGATACCATGTACCGCACCAGACACCTCCCGGGGTTTCAGGTACCTCAGATACCCCCCATCTCTTTTTCACCTAGTTTCACTCCCAGAGTTCCAAGTCACTTTATTATTATTATTTTTTTTTCATATTTATTGTAAAATATCACTCACAAGTCACTTTTTTGGCATTTTTTAATATCTGTTGTAATATATCTACATCTAATTGGAAGAATCTTACTTTTCTATTTTTTTCATATTTATCGTAAAACATCAGTCCCAAGTCACTTTTTTCATTTGTTCATATTTAATAATTATTGAAAAGTTTGAACTATCTACAACTTATAACTAATTGGAAGAATCTTCATTGTCATCCAAAACCATCACCTTCCTTTTTGATTTTTTGTTAGACTTCTTGTTATCCTTGAGTCCCTGTTTCCATGCAGCCAAGGTACCTTCTTGGATCTTGAAGTTCCTGGAGTAGAAGGCCACCATCATTTTGATTTTTGGTCGGGAAGTGAGGGGGTACCTGTAGAGGTACCTAGGTATCTGTTCAATTTTTCACAAAAATAGGTACCAAGTACCGCACCTGGCACCTCCTGGCGGGTGCGGGGCGGGTGTGAGGGGTACCCCCCAGGAGGTACCAGGTACCTGCAAAAAGTACAGACGAATGATCTCTACTCCAATTGCCTCCTCACTTCTTTTTTGTTTTTCAAATGAATTTCATTTCTTTCATTTATCTCACAATTGAAGTAATGTCATGTTATTCAACAATTTCAGAGCACAAAAAAAAGCAAAGTGAAAAAAGTAACAGAACAAAAACTAAGGGAGATAAAAAAGTGAGAGAAGGAAAAACGAGCAAGAGAAAAGAGGAGCAAGCAAGAAAAATGATGATAACGATTTGAGTGTGGTGTAGAGGAGCTCAAAGTGCCAGTCCACAATTGGAGCTGACCTGCAACCCCTGTGAAATGTGGTCGCGGGCCGGGAAATACAAGTCAACTGCCCCCCAGACCGTTGGAGATGCTCTAAGACTGGCTTTTGATGGCGCCCTGACACGCTTGCAAGACTGTATCCTACACCACCAGAGCGCTTTTTGCTCCTCTGGGCCGTTGAGGCAACACCAAATTGAATTCACAGGTCAGGCTGACCGATTGATTGATTTGACACATATTTCTGTGTCACACCGCGGTTGGGCCAAGAAGGTGGTCAGCCAGCCTCTCCTCTAAGCTCTCATTCTTGTCGGGCCTGCACATTGCGCTCAGTTCCTTAATAAATCAATTGGCCTCAGGTCATAACACACTGAATTATCATCTGTTTAGAATTTGTAGGACATTCAACCCGCTGTGCCCCCATTGTGGGGCCAGGGAAAAGGTTCTGCACCTCATGAATTTCTGTCCACAATACAAAATTCAGAGGGTGTTACTTTGCAAGAATCTGTGTCTCCTACGGATACGGTTTAGGGCATAAAGACTTGACTTAGTCCTCAGCAACAGAAAACCGGAGGTAGCCCTGGCAAATTTCTTACTCAACTCAAATCGCTTTTCAGCTCAACTTCCTCAATGACACATCCTCCAGTTGCACCCCATTCATCCTCACTATCAATATCCACCTTTCCTTCTCACATTTCTTTTTGTTTGTTTTCCTCTATGTTCTGTTATCATTTTAGGCTCTATATCTCATAACAGTATTTTCTTTGTTGTTACTAGTTTATGCATTGTGTTCTACTCATTTCATAAAAATGTTACTTAGATTCATAGTGTGCAATGCCATAGGCCAAATTTCACTTATAAAAAAAAAAGGTGGTCAGCCCAACTGATGCAATTGGGTCAGGCTGTCAGGTGGGTTGGAATGGTCATCTGATTGTGCTCCAGACTGGCAGCTGTTGGCCAGCCACCCAATCTGCAACTGTCCAGGGGCAGGCTGTCATCAGCTGCCATCAGGATCTCACATGAGAGCCGCCTGCCTGACTCCATCCCCCCTGACCCATGTACAACCGACGGTTTGCCAAGTTGGTAGTGGTCAGGCAATGGGTGGTCTGACTTTGACTCAGCATAGTCGACTGACCAGTCTTTCCTGGTCATTTGCTGGGCAACCAACGGTTGACTTCATCTGCAGAATTCCAGTTACTCCTCAGAGACTTGGGTCTGAGAGTCCTGCCAAATACAAGCAACAGCAGTCTTGCAAGTCCTGCTCCAATGTGACCGTGGTCACACTGACAGAAGTTTAGGTGCCGGCTTGATGCTTGGGTCCTCCTTGAGGAACCCACTCAGAAACACCTTCTAAGCTCTTTTTTTCAGGCAAGAGCTCGAGAAAAACTGGTCTGAAAAAAGAAAATTAAATTAAAGAATGACTCAGCCAAAAAAAAGCAATGTGCTAGCATGCAAGGCAAGCAAAATCTCAGTATTGTGATAAGCACCAAGCAGTGATGGTCAAATGATGATCAGTAGTATAACACCTCCCGTTCACGACATGCCTCAAGATGGTGGCGGATCGACCCAGATCTTCATCATTCTTTTTGCTATTCCACAGTGGCAGGGCTCTCACGGTTCATGCTTGATGTTGAGAGACTCAAACCTGGGCTCTTCTCACGGGCCAATGACTGCCAATGACTGCCATGCAGGTGGGTTGATGGCAAGTCTAGGGCAGGCCGACTGCAGGGACCCTGAAACCAAAATCTCATGGCCCTGAGAGGTCCTGAGATCTTTTATTCTTGTCGGCGGGTCATTGTCGGACCACCCCCACCCCACCGGGTAGACATGGGTCAAAGCCCCGACCACACCGACCCCCCGGCTGAAAATCTGCCAATTTGATGTTGGCAGACAGGAAGGTTTGGCTGGGTTGACAGAGGTTGGGTTGTCCGTCAAGACTCCGGGCGGGTTGCTGTTGACATGCTCCCGTGGTGTAAGAATTCAAAACAACCCACAGGGAAAACTCAAAGGTTGGACACTCTAAAGTCAAAGAAAAAAAAAGTTTTGTGCTCCAAATTATGATCATTGATTTATGTGTGCAAGTATGTCAATAGGCTTGTTCATGTTGCCGCTTGTTCACAAATAAAATTTCTGCAACAAGCAACGCTTAACAACATCTTGCTTAAAGTTTTGGTGAAGTCCCACGCAAAACATAAGCAAGCAGTTAAAGCAACAAGCAGTGCAGCTTTTCAGACTTCTCAATAAAAATGCCCTACATGAACTGGGCTAATATATACAGCCGTTTTGAGAAAGCTTGCTGCTTGGGAGTCGGACTTTTTTATTTTTTTATTTTATTTTTTTATTTTTTTATTTTTTAGAGTCTGATACAGCCCTGTATGTCGGCTGTATGTCTTCCAATCCTTCGTTTTCTTCTGTAAACGAAGAATTGGAAGTAATCCAGCTCATATACAGGGCTGTATTCAGCCCCTAAAAAATAAAAAAATAAAAAAAATAAAAAAAATAAAAAAAGTCTGGCTCGCGAACCGCAACCTTTCTCGAAATGGCTGTACACTGAGACTATTCTGTGGGACTGGGTATGCACAATCAAATTAATTTGTTCCCTACAAAATTTTCAATTCTCAATAAACAAATGAATATACTTTTAAAAAAAAAAAAAAAAAAAAATGAAATGCATTTGTCAAACAATAAACAAAAAAAGAAGAAAAAAAAGAGTCAAATGCACATTGATATCAACAAAAAAGAAGTGGAAGGATGATATATGAACATTAGCCAATGACAAAAAGAAAACAGCCCAACAATTAAAGTATAAAACAATACGATTTTTTTTGAAGTTTAGGAGCATTAAAAATCTTGATTTCAAACAAACCAAAAGAAAAAAAAAAGTGAGAAAGAGAGAGAGAGTAGGACGATAATAGGTATTGACAACCAGCCACGAAAGCCGCGACAAAGAAAAAAGAAAAAGAAAAAGGATTAAAGAGTAAATAAGAACCTTATATAAATAAGCATTAGCACCTGCACCTGATTCCGCCGAGGAAGCGGCGTAATTTTTTGGTGGTGGTGGTGGTAGATGTATACATACATACACACATACATATAAACATATATATATATAAACACAGGATGCAGAAGTGATGAACGCTTCGGATCTGGATTAACAGTATTGAGGACGACTGACGCGATGGTAATCTAATTGGAACGGCAGAAGATTCAAGGGGGGGATTGAGGGAAAGCAGAGCGGGTGAGAACTTGAGGAAGGAAATTGGAGAGAAGAAGAAGATGAGGGGAGGAGATTTACCGAGCATCATGACTGCGCCACTAGTCGGATAGACCAGCTCGGTCTCCACCTCGAGCTCCTCGACCCGCTCGACCGCCTCGTTCGCCGGGTCGAGATAGCCCATCAGTCGTTCGTGCATGCTTTCCAAGCGGGCCCTGAGTCCGCCATAGCGGAGATCCAAGACCTCCCATCCGAACGGCTAAAAAAAAAACCCACACACTCCCGGTCAGGCCCCAAAAGCATGAATGAAGAGAGCGAGCGAGTGAGCAACTTGCCTTGTACATCATCATCCACAACTCTCGATGGTACTTCCACGTTTCATCGCACAAGGCCCTCAACCGACTCAGTCTCGACTCCGGGCCCGGGCCGGCCAGCGCCACCAGCTCCTCCCGGTCGTTCTGCCGATAGGCGTGCACCAGCCGGTCCCGGAGATGACACTTGAGTCCCAACACCTTGGCAATCAGCTTCGGTAGCATCAGACGCCCGTTCAGCGGGTGCGCCATCGTCCGCCTCCATTCCTCGCCATTCCCATTCTTCTCTCCATTCTCTAACCCGCCTCCTCCTCCGCCTCCTCCCATCGCTTCATCTAAATACCTCGACAGTTGGTTGTAATGCGTCTCTAAATCATATCCCGCGTATTGGGGTGATAAAATCGAAAAGAATGGCTCTGCAGGGTTTTCCGTCAAAAAAAAAAATGTCAGCTTCTTACTTTCTTGACAGGATCTTTCGGATGCTCTTCAGACAAGAATATGATTGACCTTCCCAAATCAACCATTTACTAAGATTAGGTGTAAACCGACTGATCAAAAAAAAATAAGAAAAGAAAACATGATGAAATGCAGCGAAATAAAACGTTTGAGTCCATGAGAACAAATGGAGAGAGACGGAGAAAAGGACAGACGCTTTATCATCGATCAATTGGTTCTCAGGTTGCAAGTCATCGAGCTTAGAAGCGAAGACGAAGTCATCAAACGAGCCACCACAGATCCCGTCGAACTTGCTCTTCAACAGGCCCACGTCTATCTCGGACTTATTCGAATAAGCATGTTCAGCATAGAACAAGATTCCTGGCAATGCTGACCAACTTGTTTAAAAAAAACAGGAGTCAAAGAGATTATTCAAGCATATGGTTAATAATATATGAAAGAGAAGGGGGAACAAAACCACTTACATATCGCACTCGTTTCCTTCGTCTCCCCAGATCGTCGTCAACGCATGTTTGACACCCGATTGCGGGTTCTTGATCGCCCTCATGCTCGCCGTGATCGTCTCGATCGTGAACGGCAAGGCTGTCCAAAACCTCGACCCTTCAAAAACCCATTCAATCAATCAACCAAAATAAGAAAAAGGAAAGAAAAAAAATATTCTGGTTTGTCAAAGCAAAGAAAGAAGAAAAAGCGAGATGTGTGACTTACAGGTCCAGATCCCACTAGCCATAGCTGGCGACTTAAAATTAAGATCGCGGTGTTGGTTGATCTTGTTGACATAAGGAGCCGATGTAGTATGATAATAATCCTTAAACAACATAATTATGATAGGATCGAGGCAAGAAACCGGGGGGGATTAAACTGCAGCTCTGCGCGGAAAATCGTGGATGAGAGAGAGAGAGAGGAAAGATACCCAATAGACGAGCTCGATTTCCGGCGGGATAGACTGGACCAATTCGGGTGTTGCCGGATTACTAGAGTCGTAGTACCCGCCCAACGAGTTATTCTTGGCCGCTAGACAAAACAACACTATCCTCCCCACAACCAACAACAACAACAACGACAGCCAAAGATCAAACACACATCGAGATCAGAAAGATATGTTAAGGACAGGACGAGCGGGGGAAACCGAAAGGGGGACTGACTATCGGACCAGATCATAGGCCTCAATCCCAACTTGGCACAGATCTGATTGACTTTATTCAAGTGATCCGTAAACTAATTGACCAATAAAAAGAACACCCCACGACGTTCCTGGTTAGATTAGTACCATGTGCAATGAAGATGTAATTATTATATAAAAAAAAGGGGACGAACGACTTGGCAGCTATCTTTATGTCCAAACAGTTGACGATACCTGCCTTCACTGACACCATGAGCTTCGTCCATGCCGATATGGATCTTCTTACTCCTTAAAGGACTAGTGATCGCCCGAATCATCTGATCATAATAATAACAAGAAGATCGTCATCAGATGTACCAAACACAGAGAAGGAGAATGTGTGATTAGGAACAATCGAACCAAATGGCGGCTTTTTTTTTTGAGAGAAAGAGAGAGAGAAAGAGAGAGAGAGAATGGAGAGAGAGGGGGGCCGACTTTCTCGATGAATCCGTACACCTCTTGGCTTCCGACTAGTAACACATCATGCGTGTCTCTCATCCCGCCAAACCGCGGCCACTGAAGCATCTGTCCAAGATGGCCCAACGTCTGGACTACATACTCCACCAAAAAATCAAAAACAAAAAACCCGTACAGACAACACACGCAGACACATGACCATGGCCCATCGGGACAACGCAATCCACACGAGACATAAATTGATTTTCGATCAGATGTTTTCAAGTCAATTCCCATTTGTTTTTTATTGGTCCATGATATGGGGATCTTCCCCGTTGATGGATAAAGTGGAGAGAAAGAGAAGTGCGATAAGAGGATGGGAGAGACGGAGACGACTTACTGCATGCAACCACTTCTATTCCGCTTACATTGCCGTCCATTAAACCCATTTGATTTATTCATTCAACGATTTACAAAAATCCAACAAATCCACATTAGATATTCAATCAGAAGCAGAATAAAACGCCCAAGGAAAGAGAAGCCCCCCCCCCCCCGATCAGATGTAAGTATCGTCCGATGATCAAGCGTGATGAGTGATAGAGACGAACGAGCCCCAAGAAGAAGACCAATAAGAATCAGAAACCGAAAAGAAAAAGAAGAAGAGAATGCAAAACCCCCGAATCCCAACACATAAACACCCCCAAAGTAAACATAAAACAAAAAAATTGACGTAAGCGACAGGTTGACAAGAGCCTCGGATTCCAAAAAAGAGAAGAGGTATTAAGAGGGACGAACAGCGCATGAGCGTAATCGTCGATTTCTTTGAGCTCTTGTTGGGTGTAAGGGCCGCGAAAGTAGCCGAAGAAGGGTTCGCCTTTGATCTGGTCGTCGGCCATCGAAGGAGTGTGTGCATGAAGGGGGGTCCGAGAAAAAAAAAGGATCAGATGAGTTCTTCTTTTTTAAAAAAAAAGTAAAGGGGGGGGGGGGTAGAGAGAGAGAGAGAGTACCTGATAAGTGTCTTCGGTGTAGAGCTGCAAGAGGTTCAAGCCCATGAGAGCGACGAACCTACACAGCTCATGAACTCTCTGGACTTTGAGGACGCCGTTCCTAGAACAATCGACCATGAGGCCCAAGGAGTCGAACCGACAAGGCCGGGCCGAGTGGGCCAAGAACTGGCTGACCAGGTGTGCGCACGCTTTGGAGTCCCAACGCGAAGGAAAGAGTGGGGCGCCGATTTCTGGGCTCCCATTTTGGTAGGAGGATGAGTGTGTGTATAAGAGGTGCGGTAATGGCGGGTCAGGCCGAGGACATGGCCTACCGCTCGGAACGCCTCGCTAAGAACACCGTATCGGATCCTCACTACAAACCGCTCCATCCCCCCCTGCCCTCCTCCACTCCGTATTCTGTTGACTACCTCCACTAGGTAGCGTGGATGACTGTTCGAGAACTCGTGGAAATTCGGATGGGAGGTGCTGATTTCTAGCCCTCCCGCTCGTCTCCCTTCTCCTTCTCCTTCTTCTCCTACCTCCTCCTCTCCTTTCTGCTTAATAAACCTGTTTTTTTTTTTTGTTTGAAAGAAAAATAAAATCTCTGGTTAAAAATTTAAATCTGATTGTATCTCTCTCAGGATGGGATTGATTGACAAAAGAATACTCAACTGCAGGAACCACCAAAACTCGGGCTGCAAGCGATTAGGAAGAAGATTAAGAGCGGGGTTATGGGGGAAGAGAGAAGAGGGAAGTTGCGGCGGAAGATTAGAAGATTTGGGGCTTCGAAGATCGGAGGCGAGCCTAGAATGAGTGATCGATTGGGCGTGTAGTTCGAGGGCGTTGAGGTCGATAGCGTCTGCGAGAGGGTTCTGATTTCTTCCAAGTAGAGGAGGGGGATTAGAGGGATTGAGGAGGGAGACCATGTTCATGTTGTTCCTGACGGAGTGGTTGCAGAGCTCAGTCAGGCCGAACCGCAGCTCCTCCTCAACCTCGAAATCCAGGAAGACCAGTCTGATCGGCGGCTCGTCGTAGAGATGATGATGATGGTCTGTCTGGTCGTTGGCTGCAGCTGCTTCCTTCCTCGACCCTGCGGCATCCTGTCTGATACGACCTCCCGGCTCATGACCATCCCCGACGTTCTGCTCTCTGGGACTTAATTGGTCTGTTCTCATCGGGCTTTGGCTTGCTGAGGTTGGATCCAACGAGTCGATGGAATCTGACCAGAACATTTAAAAGTCCATCATACATGAGTTCTTGTTCTTGTTCTTATTTTTATTTTTATTTTTTTTTGATTGACTAGAATTGATTATTTCCCTGAACTTACTAGTTAGTCTTTCGATCTCATTATTCTTGGGAGGTTCCTCTGTACTTGGTGCCATCCTGGTCGTTGCTGATGATGATGGTGATGGTCAATGTTGCACTTGGACGATCGAAGCAAGTTGGATGAATCGAGCCAAGCTGCTGCTGCTTACATAATCAGCAAACCACCACCAGCCCCCTGTGAAAGAGCTGTGACTACATAATACCAGCTGACCCAACACCACAGGAATCCTTTGAAAGCAACTGATCGCCAAGGAATGTAGCTGCCACAGAACCCAGCCAAGACACCCCCCCCTCCTTATAATAACCCACACTAGAACATCCTCCTGACTCTTTGCAGCGAAGAAATTCCTGCACCTGACCTCCACACTAGAACGCTCATGTCTCAAGCTCTCCAACTCATCAAGCTGTGTCAGACCCAGCATGCCACCCTGTGTGTGTCTTTCTAGAGTGATATTATGACCTGCTTTATATACAGAGATACTCATCAGAGTTGTTGGCCAGGAGACAGTGGTCAAAGGAATCTAGAAAAAAAAATATGTAGGTTTAATAAGTGTTTCCTTCGTACATGCAACAATCAGAGGAACTTGGTTAAAGTTGAGCTACGAGAAGAGAGAAGAGGAACCCCTTCACGTGTTTTATTTAGGCCGTTGGAACCAAGATATTTACATAATACATATTGATCTCAACACACTTACTTATATATAGGCCTAATATGTACATCGGTATGTACACCAAACGAACGACAGATCAAGAGCGTAAAGAAAAAGACACCACGAAACCCAAAAAGCAGAGAGAGAGAGAGAAAAAAAAAGGTGGAGTTGATGTGAATGGAACAAGAGTGAGGATGTTGATCAAGTGCTAGATAAAGTGGAGAAAACTGCAAAGAGAAGGGAAAGGAGAAGGCGCAGCAGAAGCGGAAAACAAGGTCAAGAGAGATGGAGCTTTCTGGCGAAGAGATTGGCGACGAAGTCAGCGGAGTTGATGGGAGTAGAGGAGGGAGGAGTAGAGGAAGAAGGGTGGGGCGCGGATTTAGAAGAGGAAGAAGAGAGGAGCGGGGCATGGGAACTGAGGCGTTTCCAAGCGGAGTGATTCTTGCGAGCGATTCGTTTGAAAGGAGACTCGGGTTGGTGATGATTCGATTTAGGAAGACGAGCAGGTTGGATAGGAGAGGAGGAGCCGAACGCGTTGGAGTATGTTTGGCAGCAGGAGGAGAGGATGATTTCGACGAAGGAGGAGGCCGAGGAGCGGAGGGAGCTGGAGCAGCTTCGGACGCTCTCGGCCCGTTCGACATGGCCGCCATCATCATCATCACTAGTAGTAGCAGTAGTAGCAGTCGTAGTAGTAGTAGTAGCGGTGGTGGTGGTACTGCAGGGCGGACTGAGGCTGGTTTCTCGACTGTCCTCACTACTTGGGACGCTGCTTCCAGCACGCTCTTGCTCCGGAGAGACACTGTTCGAGCCGACACTGGTTGCCCGGCCGGCCCGGACGCTCTCCCGACTGCCGGCCTTCTCGACGACGATGACCATCGAGTTGCGTTTGGACTGCGGGGCCATCGGGCCACTGAGCTCGTTGACACAGACCATGAACGGCTCGGGTTTCTTGTGCGTCGAGTCGGCGCCAGTTTTTGCGCAGGCTGGGGCTTCCCCTCTCGGCTCCTCCTCGTCCTCGTCGTCGTGGTCTTCAGCTTGGCTTACTTCTTCTGCTTTCGCTCGGCCGTCGTCGTGGTCTTCAGCTTGGCTTACTTCTTCTGCTTTCGCTCGGCCGTCGTCTGCCTCCTCCTCCTCTTCTTCATGTTCCTCTTCTTCATCTTCTTCGGCTAGGTAATACGGCGTGATGCTGTGTTGGTAATAGGCGCTCGATCTTGATGAGAAACTGGCGATGGAGGCGATCTTACTGAACGCTATATAAGAACACAAAATCCGCACAGAAAAAAAACAACATAACAAAGCAACACAAAACAAGATCAACAAAATCAAATTTGAGTCCGAAGAAAAAGCAAGAGAAGAATGGGGAGGGAAAAAGGGGAGAAGCAAGAGTCAATACCTCTATCCTAGGAGAAAGGGAGAGAAAGAAGCTGAAGTGCTTACGTCGATGAACGCCGGATCTGATTCTAGACTGCAAGGAGTGATGGGGCGGAGAAGAAGAAGAAGAAGAAGAAGAGACGGGCCATGAAAGGAGGACGGTCTAGGTTCGCCTTGCGGCCACTGGAAAGCGGCGAACTTTCGATCTCTGTAGATGAGATGCGTTTGGGAGCAGTCTCTAAGGAGTCCGGGACAAGTAGATCTGGAGGAGTGTGGTTTGGAGGACTGGGAAGCCGATGAATACACAGAAGCGGCCTTCCACCGGTCGTTTCTTGACTATTGTAAGAGGGGAGTAAGGTTAGTGGGTTGTCAGAAATCAGATGGGAAGAAGCAGTGAACAAACCTCATGATGTCGTCTACCAGGTATTGGTAGAGTTCCTGGCCGTACCACTGGAGTCGGTCGTGTTTGATTTGGTCGGCGATCGCGGTGGCTTGGTGGAAAGCTTCCGGGGTGGCGGCATGGACGGAGAGGTAGACGAAGAGTGGATCGTCGAGCAGCTTGTGGCCTTGGGCGACCAGGTCAGAGGCCAGGCTGTTCTCGGTCACTCGAATCTCGTTAGCTTCCTATCAATCAATCCATCAAATATACCAAACGTCAGTTTGACCTCAGGTGAACTACGAGATTATCAGCGGGGGGGGGATGAGGCATTCACTGACGATCGGTGGGTCATAGAAGTTGGGAAGCAAGCTGGCCGGCGCTCCCGACGATATCAATCGCTGCGAATTGTAGCCGGGTGAGGCGGGTGGACTTCGGCGCGGCTCAGGCTCGGAGAGGCTTTCAGTGAACCCGAGCAGGGCGAGTATGATCGCAAACTCGAGGCCTAAGATACATGAAGAATAAGTGACAAGAGTCAACTAAGGGAAATCCTCTCTGGCTCAGAGAGAGACAGCGCATGCTCACCCCGTGGATCTTGCAGGTTCTCGATTCGTCGGATGTTGAAATCGAGGAATTGGCAGGATGCCGGGACCGTCGAGGTGCCTGGTCGGTAGATTGCACATGGATAATCCGGGTCTGGTTTTCGAGACTATGTAAGAAACAGAGCGAGGAACTGATCTGATGATGAGTATGGCCAGGGTTTTTCTTTGGGAAGATGGTTCAAGAGAAGCACACGGACCATCCAACATGTGTAGCCTCGCTTCGTGCCAGCCATCCCGATTATGTCTTTCCTCCAACAGAACTTCAGGATCCGATCGAAATAGAACGTCCATTCGAAGTTGATGTACCCCGAGTTTTTGAGCTCGATCGTCGTCGATGGGTTGGCTAACGAGATCAACTTCAACTTGGATGAGAGGTGTTGGAAGACACCCAATGGTGCCAGGGTTGTGGCATGATATAATTCACTCCTCGTTTCGCTACCCTTTTAAAAATAATAAAAACCATCCCAATGTGAATCTTTTGTATTTCTGGTTGCTAATGTGCTCGTTGGAGAGAATTCTGAGTGAGGGGACAGGATGGCTGGATGTTATTGCTTACTTCGGGAACCCTGAGACGGAAATAAACGGGCTCGCCGGTGGATTCTTGGATGAGGAACAGCTTCTCGGGCTCACTAGTGGAGCGAACGAAGTTGAGGGTATAAAGGTTGGCGTCCAACATCTCTGTCTGTGGAGAGTGAAGAGCAGAGGAGGCAGTAATTATCTAAAGCTTCAAGAAAGAGGTTCTTCTTTTTCTTGTGGAAAAGATTTTTCAAGATGGAGAACGGGGAAGAGACGCGCTTGAAAGAATTTGGGAAGGAAAATTTTCTGACTCTCTATAGTATGAGCTGCCGTCCACCAAAAGGAGGAGGCACTCGAAACTTGATGCAGCCCGGCCAGGAGCAAGCCGAGTGGACGGGTCAGTCCCAAAAGAAAGCTTGAAACCGAGCTATCGCTGGCGAGTGTGAAGGAGGTCAAAAAAGCCACCCGTCACAGAGTCCCGACTGCTCATCACTGCACAGGAATGTGTATGTATTTTCCTATGGAGAGGAGGCCGGAGCTCGCCGGGCTGATGGCTGAGCTTTGGGTCACCCGGCCTCGACCATGTTGCGCTTCACCACCTTCGTCTACAGAGTGTGCTGTTGCATGCCGAGTAGCTTCATGGAAAGAAACCTCATGGAGCCAGGAGATGAAACCGAAACCCATCAAACCACAGAGAGACCCACCTCGACTTTTCCAGAACCTGCATCCAATCGACCCATGGATGAGCTCATGAGAGCTATCGGTGTCGCGACAGTCTGATCGCTTTCAAGTCCCAGGTTTCGGCGACTTTTTGGGATTGACTTGCCTGTCACCCAGCTTAGTTTATGCGCTGCCTCGAAAACCTGCAAACGGGACTACTGCCCTCTATAAGGGCGTCCTCCCCCCTGGTGGTGAAGTCTCCCGGCATCCGATTGCAGTTGTAAGACAAACAGTGTTTTGTAAAGCAGGCTTCCACAAAGACCTGTCGAGACTCATAGAATCCGATCAACGAAATGCTTTCCTTGCCCCATCAACTATTCCCCTCTTGTTGTGAAGACTACATCCAATACGACGATAAACTGATTGAGAATGGATGGAATGCCAAGTCTTGGGTGGGGCTTCGATAATCTTGTTTTTCTTGTGGGGTAGTTTGCTATCTGCAAGGTCCAATATATGTAGCAAGACCGAGGAGGTTACCTATCCAAATGTTGGCAAAATCCATGCCGATCAAGCTGCAAATCAGGTTGCACTCATCTGCATTATCATCATCGAGGCTGTGCGACTATCACACTCCCAAATTCGGTTTTTGCATCAAGTGCGACCTGTAAGAATCATAACAGTCGATTCTTTATGGAACGCTCATCACCTTGGCCAACAGTAACCTACGTATCCTAACGCTGCATCTCTACGCACATGCACGAATATGTATCTCCCCTTCAGGAAATCTTTGCTCAATGTGTTGCTGATAACTAACGGTTCTGTCAACGACACCATAAAGCCTTGTTGGGCTTCGAAAAGAGTGCTGAGATGTCCGAGCGGTCTAAGGAGCTGGATTCAAGTGAACACATCAAACACTTACGACAACATACAGTCTGTACTTCCCAGTAGAGCAATCTGCGGGGGTTCGAATCCCCCTCTCAGCAGCGAAAATGCGCTTCTTTTTCCTGAGAGGGCTCGCATTTTTTGGTCGTCTTATTGAGGATGAGTTTTGCGGAGATTTAGAAACGTTTTTGTGAAGATCGGTGATAAGAAGTGTAGATCGGGTACGCTTGAGACATCACCCCGATCCTCGGGAATCCCTGGATGCCCCGGGCATTGGGACTTACAAAATCCAGTCAGAGGTTTCTTGGTGAGACTTGGATTGGATAGGCAATGGAAGCTGAACAGATGTGCATGAAAACTCTTGATACCATCACTTCTATCATTGGTTTTTACCACCATCGAAGCCGAGGTGGGCAGACGTCCATGGCGCGGTTGGCTTGTGGAGGAGGGAACTCTTCTTGGGCATGCCTAGGCCGCCAACCAGGGAAAGAAGAGAGATCCTCAGAAAGGTTGGCTGAAAAAGCAAGCAAAGGTTGTGGAGTGTGGGCCAATATCCCTGACAAAGGAGAAAGGGCCCACCCCGTCCGGCAAATGTATCAGCTGAAGAGTTGATTACTGAAGAACTGTTTCCAAATGTCTTTGGTTTCTGTATTAACCTGACAGATAAACAGCTTTGTTCCTTCCTGCTCCTTGAAGCAGTTCCCAGCCCAACTGCACTTGCCCAAGCAGGAGACTGCCCCACCTTGGCTACTTTCAATCTGCTCCAGATCAAAAACTGCATAAGTTTGAGCTGCTGGCAGAGGGGTGGGGTAGCCCTGTCTTTGTGCTTCATCTTTGGGGGCACAGTCATACGTAGGTAGTAGGCTAGTAGATCCGGTTTAGAGATGGCTTCAAGTTCAGGTGCCTCTCTGTTGGTGGGTACCTGGGGAGCCCCAGGATTTCAGGGGACAAACCCTGACATTCTGGGCCTTACCCCTTGGGATGACCCTCTAGCCCTGTCCTGAGCCCCAAGGCATAATGTGTTATAGAGATGGCCCCTCATACTTGCTTACTTGCAACAAGTACAAGTACTTGCATGAAAAATCACAAATCTCAGACACCCATACTTGTACTTGTACTTGTGGGGGCAGGACAAAGCAAGTACTTGCATACTTGTGGCAAGTACTTGCAAGTATGCAAGATTATTTTGAGAGATAAAGGTGATAAATTTCTTGTGTTTTCATTTCATAGATTTGTATTTGTAAACTAAGTGAACTAAGTGATTGTAAATAGTAATAATAAGCCCTTCATTTTCTTCCAGATTTCTCCCTTGCTGCTTTCTTCTCATTCTTCTTATTTGCCTTCCATTTTCTCAAAATCCCCCTCTTGATCTTACTGTTTTTTGAGTAAAATGCCACACTCATCCCCCTAGTGACAGACTGTGCACTGAGCTTGTGCCTCCCTGCCCAAGAGAAGCATATTCCTTACCAAAGCTAAAGGATTGCTCCACATCAACAGTGGTTGCTTCAGAATGTGTGGGAAAGTTGGTAAAAAATCAACCAAAATAATATTAATAATTTAGATAAAAACACACCTGGACAAGTAAGCACATCAAGTGCCATCTGAAGTAAAGGTGTGCAGGTGCACACTTGCAACAAGTACAAGTACTTGCATGAAAATTCTCAGATCTCAGACACCTGCACTTGCACCCACACCTGTAGGCAAGTACTTGTTGGAAGGCAACAAGTACTTGCCAACAAGTAGCAAGTACTTGCAAACAAGTACTTGGTGCCATCTCTAATGTGTTAGGTAGACTTGGTCTCTGGTCTTCAATCTCAAGTAGATTGCCATACTAATAACCTGATCATAAGAGGTGCACTGCTGATTAGCTCGGGTATGTGTTGCCTTTGGCGTCCAATCTTGATGAGGAAAAGAGAAGAGTCAGAGCTAGTTGCATCTGACTAATCTAAAGAGAAGATTATGTGTTGCAGCTACAGCATGATTATGGTTCTATGACTCACAAGATGAATAGGATCCATACTACATACATAATGATTAAATTGGACTCTAACTGTTTCAAATTAAATGACAATGCTTATCCTTCTTTGAAAAGTGAAATTAGGCCAATGGGATTGCATGGAGCTGTGATTATCATCAATGATACGGTGCTACCAACACTGGGTCAAAAAGCATTGGTACAAGAATCCCCTTTCTGCTGACCCTGTAGCATCATAGGAAATGTAGTCCTGCTATGATATCACATGGGTGAACTCTAGATTATGACAAGCCCCTTGATTGAAGGTGTGGCAAGACCTCACAAATTCAGCCCCCAAAAGAGGGGCTTCAGAGTCAAGTCAAATTTATGGCCAGAGAGCTTGTGTTTTTTTTTGGTATTCGAGAAACCTGGCTAGGGTGCACTCTGTTTTCCTGGGCATATCACACAAATAAATATCATGGGAGTATCCAAATCCATTCAAAAAAGGAGACACACCATCACATTAGCCTTAGATTGAAGCTCTTGTTGCCTTTTTGGTACCTGGATGCCTGTGTTGTTTACTGCATTGTAAAGTATTAAATTCACAATACATACATTCCACATATCACATGCTGCTAGGGCCCATACTGCATCATAAAATCACCCATGTGTTTTGCCATATCTAATCTTGTAGTTTTGATACATTACCAAACTACTTTGGGCAAATAATTCAAACAATCAGCTCAAGCATCATGTTTAAACTGGAGGCCATACCCTGAAGTTTTAAGTGACGCCAGTCCCAATCAAAACAAGCTCATGTATTACGATGGAGCTCTAGGTCATTCTCTCAAGAGATGAGCTTGGTCAGGGCAGAAATTTGAGGGTATCCAAGGCTGACAGAGCCTGTCATGGAAGATCGCAGGCCAGGCCAGGTTATCTTGTGGGCTGCCCAAACCCACTTATGGGGCACTATTATGGGGGTCAAAAGCATGGGGAAGAGAAGGACCTTCATTGGAGGAGAGAGAGTTTCATGTATTCCCAAGAAAACTAGGTCTTGATCTCAACTGACTATTGGTTCCCATTGTTGAGGACCGCGAGTCTGTAGAAACAAGGGTGCTCGGGAGTCGCCGAGGAGCAGCAGGATCGGCAGAGAGCGCCCGGGGCTTGCCGGTCGTTGTTAGACGGTGACGGGTGCGAATCGTTTGGGTTTGGTTGGACAACACATTTGACAAGAGGAAGCCGAAGTCTAATCCAACTTCTTTCAACTTAATCACAACACAAACAAATCAAGTTGAAGAATTTGAGTCATGGTTGCTGGTGTTAGAAAGAATGGAAGGAGAGCTGACCATGCCGGCGTGGGCTCTAGTGACCGAGATCGATTCTTGGATTGTCCATTGATCTTCATCGCCTTCGTAGACCTGACGTCTAAATATTTCACCGAAAAGGTCGAGCTGATCAACGGCCCATTTGACGAAACCTATGGCAGAAACGGGGAAATCATTAGTTGGGTAGGGTTTGGATGTAAAGCAAGGGACGACGGACCGGAAGCCAAGCGGTTATCTTTGAAGGCGGTCATGTACCATTCACAAGTATTCTTGACAAGGGTGAAAAGAACAAAGGAGGTCTGGGATACCCAGAGGGCGAGGTCGCCCTCAAATTTGATCTGGCCGATCTGTCTTCTGACGAGCTCGGAGCGCATGGTGAGAAATGTCTCTTTGGCGCGCTCGACAGGCGCCGAAGGACCGGCGAGCCGACCGAGCAGCGTGATCGTCCTGACCAGGTGTGCTTTCTTGACGCTCGTCTCCGCCAGCTCGGCCAACAAACGGTCGGCAAGTTCTTGAGCCCGCGCCTCAATACGTCCTTCTAGCGGATTCGCAATATCACCCACCCCGGCCTCACCCGTGGCCCACTCGGTCACCATGCTACGGGCTCGCTCGACATGCTCGATAGCCTCCTCGTACCGTCGACACGCTATCCCCACCGACACCTCGTCCAGAAGATCACCAATTCGGCTGTACAGCTTGTGTGTCCGATCGTCCTTCCCCAAGCCAAGCAGTTTACCGGCATGGAATTGACTCGAGCCACTTTCCAAGCCTTGAGATGATAGCAACCGACTGGCTCGATATGAATGGTCAGCGTTCTGTAAGTATCATGAAGAAGTAAAGGTTAGTCTCGCCCGGTCCGATGATCATCCTCAGATTCAGGCTGGATCGAGACCTTGAGAGGCTGACCAGGCTCTGTTTCCGCTTTTTGCGAGCCATCTCTTCTGACACTCTTCTGAACGAATCTAGAAGCTCTCTCTTTTCTTGAGCCCGATCGGTTCGGAGGATGACCTTTTCCTGGTTACGTTGAATCTGTAGCGCATTGGAAAGATCTAAAGAGCGAAGTGGGAAGAGTAAATTTGAGTTTGAAAATTGGACACTTTTCAAAATGCAAACAAACCAGGAGTATCATCCAGACCGACGATCGAGATTTGAGCTAGATTGAAGCATTTCTCAGCCATCAGTTTAGCTTTGCCGGTCGTTGAACGAGTCTGTTTCTGGATGGCGATCAGGAGGCTGTCATCGAGCAAAAAAAGATGGACAGCCTGTTTGGGTTGATATGTGATTGGGTTCAGCTCGACGAAAGATTTGGTTTCGGATAGGATATGTCGACCGGGTTGGATCGGGAGAAACTTCTGTGAGCCTTCGACGTTCTCCCAAAGCGACTCGAGTTGGTTTCTGTATAGGGCATTGACGTCGGCGATCGAGTTCCTCGCCGCCTTCCGCTTTGACTCCCCCGCTGCCATACCCAAGTCAGATACTCCGGATACCCTGGACCGATCCGAGATCTGTTTGCTCAGAAAATTACACTCACAAAGATTGCTTTCGGCCATCGCACCTAAGCCCATATCAAGATCATTTGGTAGAGTTTTGAACTCCTCCAGAACGGCCTTCAACTCCAACATTTCGTTTTCCAGCGTGGCGATCTCCTTGCTAATGGCAACAAATGCTCCATAGTTCCTTTCAAAGAACAAACGTGCGTCAGTGAGATATCGATATGGATGCCCTATGGACACATGAGAGAAGAATGTAGTGAGTGACTCGAAGACGCACTTGTAGGCGTTTTCTTGGAGCGATTGGTTGGTGGTCAGATGTGTTGCACGGAGTGAGTCCTTGAATGCCTTTAACGTTTCTGGGTCGGCGGCCCCTCCCCCCAAGGTGGCCAAGTGAATCATCATGACTGGGCAAGATAAGAAATAACATAGCATATTCTCTAATCAGCAGGCGAGATTTGACAAGAGGGTTTTCCAATTAGGACGCACATTTCTCGGCGTCAAAGTCTCCTTGGGCCAAAGTTTCGCTATCAATATTGATGATGGGTGCTCCTGATGAGACTTGCTTCCTGACGCCACCGCCGATCCGGTCATCATTCCTGTTGCCGCCAAACCGACCGGGGATTGCAGGCATAGGCGGCATGGGTTGCGGGGTGCTTTTGGGCTGAGCATGGCCGTAAGAAACACTTTGACGTTTGTTCAACAGGGCTGCGCCAATCTTACTCTTCTCTGTGGAGCGAGCCCCGCCAGATTGATCGATCGGCATGCCCCTGGCCTTCTTGTCAGATGGAGGTAACCGATTAGGATGACCTGCTTTGGCCGAAGGTCTCGGTCCTCCCGGCAAACCGTCTGCCCCTGCCGCTGGCCGCGGAGGTTTGCGTCCACCTTCAGTCGGGGGCGGAACCGAGGATGCATCCTTTTCGCCATCGTAGTAGGTCGTCGGACGCTGGGTTCGCAGCGAAACGCCGGCTTTGCCTGGCCGTCTGGGCGCTGGGGTAACGGGAATGTTCATCGTAAATCCTATTTGTAACATTGTAGAAAGGGAAACACTAAGTAACCAGGTCCATAGTAAATTGAATCAAGAGGACAAGGAAGACTCACATAAATATATTGATAATTTTGGGAGCCTCGAGATAACGGTGGACGACGTTTTGATGGTCTCATTAAAGTTTGGGAATTTTAAGCATCGGGGCCCAGGGATGACCGCTGGGTGGTGATGACAGACGGGGGACGGGGGGCGATCGGGCCTAAAAACACCTGAACCCGCCCAACTCGGCTCAATTTCGTGCAACTTTGAGGAGCTGAGCAGGGCTCAAGGGGGAGCTCTAGAAGTGTTTTTGTAAGTTAAGTCAATCAGAAGTAGAAAAGGATTTTGTCATCCTCATAATTTTACAATGTCTGATTTTCCCACACGTCTTAAACTTCAAGATTTGCGAGGGAAGAAAAACTGTTGGGATAGAGTAACTTAAGTCTGGAAGTTTATTGTTGAACAGAATGGAGGACTTCCCGTCGCCATCTAACCAGCTCACATGAGAGCTATCTTCACGAGGCTTGTGCCAATTTTTATACCAAAAATTAAGATCTAGGGGGTGTAAATTAAATTCTGGGAGGGTTGTAAACCGCGACGGGAAGTCATCCAATTTTCTTTTTGAAATGAATACATACTTTTGATGAATTTGAATGGTGCTGTCTGCAATTTTGCACTAGGAATCTTGCCCAAAAGGACCTAAGCAATGATTGCCCTTACATATACAAAGAAGATTTGAGTCTAAAAATTGAAAAATTGGCACATCAAAATAGCAAATTAACAAGAGGTAGCTTTTTTGAAAAAACTCTTGTATCTGAAGGCTTGACTCCCTCTCTATCAAAAGTTCAAGATTGCTTGGTCAATTCCTCTACTCTCAAAATGATCTTCCCTTCATATGAAATTCTAGATGCAAAAATACATGGGGATGAAAAAAGGATTCTTTCAAAGATTGAGGCTGAATTGTAAAGCAGTTTTAATATTATGACTAGGATTGTTTCCTTACAGTTACCTAGTTGAGTGTGGTTTGAATCCTCAAACAAGGTCATTAGGATGGGATTAGGGTAGTCTTATTCTAATCTACATATAACTAAAAAAAATAGGCTTAGAGAGCCAAACAAGCTGTCATGCAATCTTAAGCCGGTGCCGACCTCCAATTCACATTTGTTGGATTTATTGAGTCCGGCATTAGGCCAAGACAGACAGGTGTGCAACTGAAGAAAAACCCATAGGTCATCAAGTAAACACCCAATTAAAAAAATTGGGGCAAATAGAATTACCAACCAATACTCCCCAGAAATGGGGGCATGTACTAGTCACAGAGTGAAAAAAGCAATGTCACCAAGCACACATCCCTACTCATTTTCCTTTTCCTAGTCTTACCAGAATAAATACACTCCATTTTTAACATTGATGGGACATTTTTCAATACTTCATTATATACCCAAGGAAATATGTCTTGGGATAGGATTTTAAAATCAAATCAGTCTGAAGTGTGATGGTATGAACTCTCACCATCATCAGGTTTTTATGTGCACTTAATATTTTTTTGCACTTTCATTCACCCAGTAAGGACAAGTGAGCGAGGATATACATACAACTTGAAGGATCTCAGTTAAACCACTGGACAGAAATAACTTCATTTGTCACACAGACCAGCCTCATGTTGTGTTTTAATATGTGTTCTAGAAAAAATTGATTTTTACTGTAAATTGTCCCTATGTTCTTACTGTTTGCAATAAGTTGATTTGTTTCCCAAGAAAACATACAATTTTGAAAATGTCCTAAAGATAATGAGAGGAATACGAAGGAACAATAAGGAATGAATGAATGATTTAGGGCTGGGCTTTAACATGGTCAGTTTGGTTGGCCCGACACTATTTTCTGTGGCGTGTATATCCAAAAATGAAAATGAAAGGAGACCATTTTCCGGAAGAAACTCTAGATAGGAAGCTTTTGCTCCTCGCGACAAATCTTGGCCATATGTTTCTTTCTAGCATGCTTTTCAGTCAAACGCCTTTGTACCTCTAAGAATGTGTTATTAACAAAATTGAAGCAGTCAGTGAATGATAGGTTCAAGGTTATTTGGGTGGTTATTGTATGCACATTGAGATGTAACTGATAAGAAACACTCACCTGGTGTTGTCATGTCACAAACGGGTAATTGGAAGGCGCAGGGTGAATTGTCTTTGACAGGTGTGCTGTAGTAAAAGAGTTCGACAAGATTTATCAGATACAGCTGTACATCTTTCCGTTTTCTTGAAAAAAAGGAAGAAATCTTACGGCGCCCTGGATCATTATAACATCGTTTTTTTGAGTTTTGTGATATAAAATTGAAACTAGTTAACAACCAAGCCGCGCTGTTCTCTGTCTGAGCAGTCAGCAGTAGGTCTGCTTACGTGTTTGCACCATAAACACCATATTTAGCTTGGCAGTCAGCTGCTCGTGTAACGAGGTCGTAAACATCATATTTGTATTTATCGCGCAACAAATTAGCATTTCGAAGTCTGTGTTCAAACTTGTCACCTTCCACCATGACAATGCTTCTCATCCTGTTCAAGTGAAACGTGAAGTAAACCAGCCATCAAATTGCAATCTTTGAGTAAAACACAAGGAATTAGGGGAAATGGAGGGGTTTTTTTTTGAATAAGTGAACTTACACTCCCTGTTCGTCACAATGGGAAAGAACATCATTTCCACCCCAGGCACCACGCGGACCCTCAAATTTGCATGGATCCTGACGCAGATTCCACATTTTGTCAAAATTGAGCACTTAGATTTACAAATCAGGACTGCATATGATATCTTACCTGTCCGATTGTGGCCACAAATCCCTTTGTTTTAGAAACAATCTTGGTCAATACTTGAAAAGACTTCTGGTTTTATCATCAAGAGGTAGAGGCAGAAGAAGGGTTTCTCACCAGTGATACAAACAATTCTGAAAGAAGGACGATGTTTGCAAGTTTTGTAGTGTCTGCTACCATACTCTCCCAAGTTGGATTTGGCGCAAGGAATGCACCTTGCATTATGATTGGTGCAATGCCCGCATCACTGTAAATTGGGGTTGACAGTGCAGTCTTGACGGTGATGGCAATAAAACTTTGTATCCGGATGCGCAGTTTTGCTAAGTGAATGTCAAGAAAACTCCATCTGGTCTGTGCTCACGAAGTCAGGAATGGAAGCATTGGTTAAGAATTTTTGTTACGTTTCAAAAAGCGTCAGTGGTGGCGTACGTATGCTAGGATATTGGGTGGTCCTCTCTTTTGTAAACGATGTGAGCTTTTGTGCTGGAGTGACAGGTCTCTTTTCCACCTTCGCTTGGGCGCAGCGGGGCGGCCAGAAAACAAAACGTTTTTGAATTCTTCCTGTATTTTTGGAGAAACTGGGGCATGCGGGAAATCAGACGTGCCCGAGTGAGCTCCAGCAAAGTTCCTTAATGATTGAGTGTCGGCGACACCAATCGCAGCTTCAGCTGCTGGAACTGTCTTTGCATCCGCAGCAGCATGTTGTGCATCTGCTGCACTTTTTGCAGCGGCCTGTGCATCCTTTGCAGCGGCTGCAGCCCCAGGAAGTGCTTTTACCGGTGAGAATAACGCAACCAAGGGTCCCGTAAACATTGCTATTGAGTTGAAGAGAAGTTATATGCACAAGGATAAATTAGCTAACTGTGGCGCCTGGTTGAGATGAAGGAATTCTTACCAATGGATGCAAACACTAGGGTCGCAACTCCATAGCCAAATAAAGTCTTATCACCCTTAATACCGAGTGGGATACTGTGAATGCAAACCAAGTTGAGGCACGCATCAAGGGTTTGTGTTGGAAATTTTGCAGAATTTAACGCCAAGAAGCTCGGATGAAGGTCGCTTCAAACGAAGATTTCGTTTCCAAAATTGGTTCACTCACAAATCAGTAACCATAACGGCAGAAGTATCTATTGAATAAAAGAGGACTACGCTTAGAGCAATGTAACACCCTTGGGAGTGCAAATGCCTCCGGAAAAACTGTCGAGCGCTGTCGAGCGCTACTCACCTGACAACATCATGGTGACACTGGAAATCACCCTATAAAGTTGATTCATGAAATTGTTCCACTGCTGAACTGCATACAATATAAGGTAGTCCTTTCCAATTGCCGGATAGCAAATCTGTAGAAACCGAGTGACGTGGTCAGACTGAAATGACCAATCGCTTTGTGTATTTTTACAAGAGCTCAAGTGTGAAGACTCAACTTGCCCAGCCGCACAGTCTAAACCGATGCCGCAGAAAAAGTTGGTCATTCCGAGTGAAGCTGCAAAATTCTACCATAACCACAACCAGAATGTAGTTAGCAAGAGCTGTGAAAATTAGATCAACAACACCAGAAATTCGCTGAATAGTCGCTTTTTTGCCTACTGGGGCATTCAATAGGAAGCACGTTCGATAGCAGGAAAACACTTGATGGAAAGATAACGAACCGCGATGGTTGAATTCTGGGTCAGCGGATGCTTGGCAATGTATTGGTCCATTTGAGCCGATTGCCAAAGTTCTGGAGTGAGGCTAAAGTTGGCCGTGTTAACACCACATGGATCCAATTCAAATGGTGACGCGGATTTGGAAGTTTCGGTTTTCGCAAAGATGAGTGGGCGTGTGCTCAGGATCAACAGGGTACAAAAAGTAAGGATTGGAGCTAGCACCCGCATCAAGCTTGATTTGTTGCGGTACATTATTTGATGTATACAAAATTGAACTGTCCTTGGCGGGTGTGAGGGGCCTACGGGCACGAAAGTTGAAAGAAAGTGAGATTTGAAAAGTGAAAAACTAATATGAGCTCAACATAAATGGGAATAAAGTCCAGGTGTTTCCAGGCTTTTGATGTTTATGAAAACAAACCGACAAATGGGCGAAGTGGAGTTTTGTAGGTGACTCTAGGTGAGATTTGGATGGCATTGGGATATAAACCCGACTTCTTTGTTGCATGTTAGGGGGAGGTCTGCATGACGCCCGAGGCCCCGGCCCTTTGAATAAAAGGAGCGAAGATGGTTAGCCCGAAACGCTTGATTCGCCTGGTGGAGTCAAGGATAGCACATCTCAGGATTTGGTCAGTCGAACAGTCAGTTGCACATGCTCGGGGTTAACGTAGTTGGGCAGTTGAGGTTTCTTCGAAGATACAAATATGCGTGAAGGACAACGATCAGCGCCCCGCCATCTAACCGTGCCTTGAAGCACAAGTGTCACAACATGCTGCTATCCTGGGTCAAACGACAAACATGATCATGCTCGGCCAGCTTGAACCCCTGGAATCACAAGGTAACTTGCAGCTCGGATGTCTAGGGGACTTTTGGCAACCGTCTTCGATGAGACTCTTCACATGCCCGTATATCCCAAGTGTAGATTTTTCCACTTTGACATCAGTGGACCATGTTCGTACTCAAGGCAGCATTTTAGTCCCTCGCCAGATGTCCTTCCTGTGGAGGGCCCTTCGGGGTCCCCTTCAATGGACTTATTTACACAACTTCGTGCCACCCGAGTTGAACGCAAATTTCCTTTTCCCTGCGGAGTGTATTCGCTCCTGTCGCATTACGCCGACCGGTAAGTACGGGTTACTCCGTCTAGATTATTGGTGGCCCAACGCGAAACACAGGTCGTTTTTTCTTGGCAAGATGATGCGATTTCCTTGAGCCTCACGACCGCCAACAGACAATGGAAATAAAGGAGCGATGGAAGATGTTGTGGAGGAGAACTGTGTGAGAAGGGTGACATGCTCAAGTTGTCACGCGTCACACAAAGAGAGCACCCTCGAATCGCGAACCTCTTGTTACCTTGCCTCAGTTGATCTTGCTGGGCATTTGTTTTTTTCGCCTTTTCATGTATCCAGCTCTTTGGCAACCCTGCTTTATTGGGATAATGGGATTCCAAGAGACAGCGGTTTGGATTATGCTGAGCCTGAGTACTCTTTGGTGACGCTGGCTGTACCGCGCCTTGCTAGCACGGCTGATGGCCCCGTGTAAAATCTCCACGCACAACAAAGAGTATCCTCTGAATCGAGTCTTTGAAAGACCTGCAGCGGTATCATACATTTTCATCTTTGAGTAAATATTAGTACCACGACATATCTGTAGGGCCTTCCCCCAGCCTGACCTTACTCGCACACCCCGGTTTCCTTGTTTTATCTCTGAAGCAATCCCTCCATCAGTCTTTTTTGGTTCAATCGGTTCAATACAAAGCTACCTTTCAACCAACTGTACATAACTGTTAAATTTACTTTGCTTATTTCCTAATGACCAACAAAATGATTTGTGCCGCATGGGCCTGTTTTATATTGCTCTCCCAATTTCGAGGAATCATGGCTATGGCCTCGCCCCGTCTGCGCGGATCCGGTGCTGAGCTGGACAAGAGATTCGACTGGCGATGGTGGACATGGCCAATGTCAGATGGATCCAAATCTGGGAGTCAAACTTCAGCCTTACAACCCAATAGCGACAATGGAAATTCGGGCTCCTTTTCCTTTTCATTCGGCGATGTACATTCAGACTTTTCTTCCAGTCCAAGCGAAGGTGCCAAACTTCCATCCGCCTTACCAACCCGAAGCAATGGCCCATCAACCAGAGTTACCCCAGTAAGCTTTGACATTCTATCGAAGAAATTCGAAAACTAATTCAAAATCCTCAACAGAATCCTCCCTCATCCAAAGGTACCACAGATGGCGGGGATAGCCAACAGTGAGTGGATCATATTCATAGGCCCCCTGCTCTGTTTTCTATTATTGAAAGCTTTTTAGTTCTTTCAATCCAATTAATCGACTGGAATTATTTGTATAGGTGGTTGAAGTTGCACAATAACTATAGAGTCCAGTACAAAGCCGTCCCCCTCAAATGGAACCCCACTCTAGTCGCGGCGTCCAAGCGTGTCACCGATAAATGCCTATGGAAACACACCCCGAACAACCGATACGGAGAAGTCAGTCGCCCGTTGTGTTTTATTAAATCATTGAAACACGGCGTACTGAGTTGTCTCATCTCTGTCCAGAACATAGCCGCCGGCCAAGCCACCATGGAAGATGTGGTCAAAGGCTGGGTCGCCGGGCCTGATGAAAGAGACTCCTTCACCGGCCCCAATTCTAAGCCAAGTCACTTCACTCGTGAGCACATATCCCCCTCTCTCTGAACGATTGACCTTGTGCCCTCGAAAGCAAGCTGAAAGGTACTTGTTTTTGTTTTGTTTTTGCTGGCAGAGGTCGTCTGGCAGGCGACGACCGAAGTAGGCTGTTACAAAGGCATGTGCAAGAGCGTGCGCGGTATAAACATTCCCCAATCCCCGGTCACTTTCTGGGCCTGTACCTATAACCCGTAAGTTGGTTTGGCTATCCATCCCCCCTATCTCCTTGGGTAATCTTGCCTAATATTCCTGTTTTGCACATTGCATAGTCAAGGGAATATCATTGGCCAAATCGGCAAAAACGTAAAAGCCGCGCCAGGCGGCCGACCTCTCTGAAATTCGACGAAGGTTATTGTCCCTCTCCATACTCCCGGCCATCCCGATTCACTCTTCCCTCCAATAAGTATATATTTGATTTGCTCCCTAGAGGGCTTTTCTGCTTTCCCCCAAACCGGTTCTGGATTTTCTTTTATTTCATTTGGCCTTGAAGGTCATTCAGTTCATCACCCTAAAGTGGTGTAAACCCCTCCATGTGGAGGAAAAGGCCTTTTCATCTCATGCCATTAGTTTACTTCCATCCAATTGGTTTTGAAGTATTCCCTCCTGAAGTGTTTGTTCAGTCTGTTTTACTTATCCTCCTCTGGATTATTATTTCACATGCCTTTCATAGCTCTACTTTGGGGGACCTGTATACATCACCCAAACCAGTTCCTTGATTTTTTTCTGGCCCTTTCTCTACAGTTTTTCAATTTGTGACTAGCCTTCCCACCATTTGTGATTCTGGAAACCTTCAATTTTCTCCCACAAATTACAAAACTTCTGGCAATTTTAATTGGCAGGACTTAAAATTTACAATACATACTATCAATAAGTTACTTAAAAAAGGCATTAAACTGAGGAAATGGGTAATCTGATATAAAGAATGAAAACAGAAAGCTGGGGTAACATTTTGAGTGAATCTCAACAAGCTGAAGTTTTGGAATGTTTGCATCAAAAAGAGGGTTTTTTGGAAGTATGACCTTGTCAATTTGATCACCTAACCTACACAATGAAAATTGGAATTTCTCTTGCTAGCAATTAAAATCAAGGAGGCTTTGGGGGAGCCTTCACTGAGGCTTTGGTGCATTTTAGCATTTTTTTGGCTATTTTTGCCACTACAAGGGCTGTAGCGCAGCGTAACATAGCCTAGTGGGACTAACAGCGCGCTAACACTACAGTGTTGGCACCCTTTTTTGAGGGTTGCTACGCTAACATCAGTGGGCTGTTTAGTGTATTTTAGTGTAGTGTAGCGGCCCATGGCTGACATGCACAAATATGCTACAGGCTTTAATGGCAAAAAAACAGTCTGTGTTGAATTTTATTGAGGTTTTTTTCAAGCCCTCAGCATTATTTATATTGGTTCTTAGCAATCTCAATACACCTCCCTTGCCATAAAGTAACAACTGTTACTTTACAATGTGTGACCGCTACATGCACTGTAACAGCCCACCATTGGTTTTAATAATAAAACACAAACATCAAATCTTATATACACTTGAGATTATCACAAGAAAGATATAGCTCCTCCTAAGTGCTGTAAATAAAATAGTTGATGCAATTGAATCATTCAACTGATTGGACAAAAAATGAGATTTTGATGTAACTTGTAACTAAGTGGGATGTTTGGTATTGAAAGTGTATGAACACAGATTGATTTTGAACTGATTTTGATGATAAAGCAAGATAGATGAGGAATAGAAGGGAATTGATTTGTTTTGGTATGGGAGGTAAAAAAGGTTGATAATTGGATTGAGATATCAAGAGCACAATTGAGCCTGGCGTGATTCACAATAGACCAGTTCACCATATCCAGTTCCAATAGGCCAATTCACATAGCGGCTTGTCCACAAATAAAATTTCTGTGACAAGCAACACTTAACAACATCTTGCTTAAGGTTTTAGTGAAGTCCCACGCACAACATAAGCAAACAGTTTAAGCGACAAGCAGTGCGACTTTCAGACTTGTCAATAAAAGCGCCCTACGTGAACTGGGGCTAATCAAAGTTCAATGCAATGCAGAAACACACAATTTACAATCAAAATTATTTGTTTTGGGAATTCCCTTTGATTTTTCAGCACCCGCTGTAAATTTGTGTTCCCAGTGAATATTTAGCATTAGAGCCTGTAATTCTAGCTTTACAGAGGCTGAAAAACCAACAGT